TCTCTCATCTGCAAAATGGGAATGTGATGAAGTAGAATTACAACTGTGATTGATGTAACATACATAAAACAACTTTGATTATTAATGAACAGTAATCCTTGAGCAAAAATTAGAGGCCTCCCCATAACTAGTACAGTGGTACCTCGGGTTACATACGCTTCAGGTTACATACGCTTCAGGTTACAGATGCTTCAGGTTACAGACTCCGCTAACCCAGAAATAGTGCTTCAGGTTCAGAACTTTGCTTCAGGATGAGAACAGAAATCGTGCTCTGGCGGCGCGGCGGCAGCGGGAGGCCCCATTAGCTAAAGTGGTGCTTCAGGTTAAGAACAGTTTCGGGTTAACTACGGACCTCCGGAACGAATTAAGTACTCAACCCGAGGTACCACTGTAGTTATTGTTGTTTGCTATGATTCTCCCTGTGTATTCCAGCTCTGCAAAGGCAGGGATTTCTACCAGGCCCACTCTGCGGCGTTTGGGCACTGTAGGCAAAACTTCCTGATACCCCTGCCTCGTTCCTGTGCCTGCCGTTGCACCCGCCTTGCCACCAGCCCCACCACTACAGCTGTACCCTCGCCTGCAGCTGCACCACCACACGGCTGCTATAACACAGCAACACTGGCGGTGCAGTTTTGTGTACAAAAAGGTAGTATTTTCAGTCTCTTCCCGTGTGACGAGCGAACCTCTTACTTAGTGTGGCTTCCAGAAGGAGGAGTGGACTTTGCTCTCCTCACCTGGCTGGAGGCTGTGTCTTCTTAGGTGTAGGAGAAGAACAGGTCACAGGCTAGACTGGTTGGATCTTGTCTGGAGTTGAGAAGACACCAGAGATGAGCCACATTAGATGAGTGGGGATTTTTTTGCAGGGGGGAGAGTCTGCAACATGTCACCCATTTCATGAATGGTGGATTTCTACTGGTCAGTCCACGCACCATTCCTCTTTATTAGTTCTGCGATGCTTCTCCAGTGTTGTTTCTATTTGGAGGGATGCTCTTAAAGGTAAAGGGAGCCCTGACCATTAGGTCCAGTCGTGACCAACTCTGGGGTTGCAGCGCTCATCTCGCTTTATTGGCCGAGGGAGCCGGCATACAGCTTCCGGGCCATGTGTCCAGCATGACTAAGCCGCTTCTGGCGAACCAGAGCTGCACACGGAAACGTCATTTACCTTCCCGCTTATTTATCTACTTGCACTTTGACGTGCTTTCGAAATGCTAGGTTGACAGGAGCAGGGACTGAGCAACGGGAGCTCACCCCGTCGCGGGGATTCGAACCGCCGACCTTCTGATCATCAAGCTCTAAGCTCTGTGGTTTAACCCATAGTGCCACCTGCGTACCGAGGGATGCTCTTACACTAGTGCAAAACAGAAACGGGACAAAATGTAAACCAGGGCAGTTGCGTTTTGGGAAGTTGCAGGATTCAGGAGGAAGCTATTGTGGCAATCACACAGGGTCCCCGGACGTTTCACCGTCTATTGATCCCTGTGCCACCACTTTATTTCTCACTGCCACCACCCAGGCCCTACCTGGTACAATACTGAGTCCAGTCAGGGTTAAATTGGAACATAAACTTCTGTTTATTTATTGCAGTTTAACAAGCGTGTGGTTTCATAAACAGTCTCGGTCAATTACAATCATGGGGTGCCTATCCAGATCTATAACTTCCGCTATGTGCTCTCACTCACTAAACCACCTCTCAGATATTTACTTGTCTTCTTAGCCCCAAACTGTTCCTGACTCAGCTTATTTCTCTACACTAACTCAACCTACCCACAGACTCTATCCCAATTCACTCCCACTCCAACCAACCACCCAACTCCCAACGAACTCCTCCCAGAGCTGGTTTTATAGTCCCTCTGACTCCACCCCCTTGGGTCCTGATTGGGTACTCTGTTTAACTATTTCACCTCCAGCCCTCTCATATATTAATGTCACAGCTATAGGGTGTTCAATGGTCAGGAGCCTGTCGCTCTGAGATGTTCGCAGATGTGGTGTTGAAAGCGGGAACATGTATAACCGGCTCCTAGACCATCAGGAGTGCAAATCCTCATGACTGCTCAATAAAAGGGGTATCCGGAGGACCCCAGAGTTTCTTTAAATCATCATTTTTGAAACATTTTAGTGTTTCAAATTGCTGACCTGATCTAAGGCAGCTTCCTGTGCTGCTAGAATAGAGGGCTCAAATAGAGGAGAGGCAAAACACTATCTCACATTGGGGGAGGTGTGCGCTCGATAGCTTCAAGAAAAATGCAGAGAGCAAAACCAACCCCTGTATATAGCCTTTATTGACCTGACTAAGGCTTTTGACACTAAATTGTAATGCCCTGTGGACTTTTCCTTCTGAAAATTGGCTGCCCAGATAAATTTGTGAACATCCTTCGGCTCCTCCATGATAATGTGACAGCAACAATAGCAGATAACAATGACTCTCAAAAAGAACCATTCACAGTGGGATCAGATGTTAAACAGGGTTGTGTTATTGCCCCAATTCTGTTCATTATTTTCATTTGGGAAACACTTGTTTCATTCATTATTTTCAATTGGGAAACACTTGCCTGCGAGCGCTCCAGTTGGAGAACAGTCTTTACCAAAGGTGTCATGGGCTCTGAAGACGTTCGAACTCAGGATGCAAGGGAGAAACGCGCTAAGAGGAAGACACGCTTGGCAAATCCACACCATGATCAACTCCTGCCCGAAAAGCTATGTCCCCACTGTGGAAGGACGTGTGGATCCAGAACTGGCCTCCACAGTCACTTACAAACTCATTGTTAAAACTGTGTTTATGGAAGACAATCTTACTTGGCTACGAGGGATCGCCAAAGAAGCAGCACAAAAGTATGCCACCTTGAACCCCTTGGAGCAATGGTGGGATGATGATGATGATGATGATCTGGGAAAGCTATTAGCTTAAGTATTCTGCCCAAACCATGGTTTGCTGTTTTGTGCAAGCTACTCCACATCCTTTCCCCCCATCTCTTTCCTTGTTGTTTTGGTTCTCGCCACACGAGGGAGAGCCTGCTCCCACAAACCAAAGGCCAGGAAAGTATATTTCCGAAGGGCAAAGTGAGATCGTATTGAAGGAGCACTGGATTGGGAAAGTGTTGAACATTACGGATTCAACTTTCTGCTGGTGCTAGCGTGGTCTCCACACCACTGCAATCTTAGGCATCTGTTCAACAGGCAGGCATCCATCAGGTGAAACCATTGCTGCCTCTTTATATCCATGGCAGGACAGTCTGCACCTTTGGGATGGCTTCTCGTCACATGACCCCTGCCCAGTGTTGTTTTTTTAAATAAAGGGGGAGACCGTCATAAAAAAATGTGTTGACATGTCAGCTGGACGCAGAAAGAATGACGTGCTCGTATAGCCATTCTGCCACATTCCTCAGTGCTGTGGTTTAGGTTGTTGCTCCCATTTTACATAGAGGAAACTGAGGCTGAGAAGGGGAAAAAACCTGGCTGCAGTTCCTGGAAAAGGTAACTTTCAGGGTGTTACTCCGGTGTTCTTGGGTACAATCTGGGCTACCTTCCCAGGCTGATGAGCCCCGCAATCCTAACACCACATAGACCATAACTGCAGAAATCAAATTTGCCGGCATGCGATGGAATCTCACCCGAAAATAGTAACAGCCTGGAAAGCCCCCCGCCTTTGTTCTTTATTACTATTTCAAGCCTGCCGGAGTGCCAGCAATTCCGTTCATGCGTCCTGCTAGCTTGGCTGTTAACTCTTTGACTCATAATATTTATGTTCCTTGGGTGTTGGTAGCGGGATTAGTCTCCATGGGAAACATCTGCAACACAGCGCCAGCTGCCAGTCGTAGATCTCTCATGGGTTTTTAAATGTTTGGCTTGGGAGAGGTAGAACCGCAGATAGATGGGAAATGAAAACAGAATCCTAGATCAGGTGGACTATCTCTTTGGTTCACATTTGGCCCTGGAGAATATTAACCACTCTCAATTTTACCCATGGACTGCCATCTGTCCAGATTTTAATTTGTTCTGAACTAGTTTTAAGATGCATTTAATTAATTGTTTGCCTGTTTTTATGTTCTTTGTATACTGTGTTAGTTTTATGATGTTAGCCGCCCTGAGCCTGGCTCTGGCTGGGGAGAGTGGGGTATAAATTATTATTATTATTATTATTATTATTATTATTATTATTCTTCTTCTTCTTCTTCTTCACCTCTCTGAATGTGATGTCCTGCCTTTAAAGGCTCCCTGGCATTTGCCCAGCTACTCTTCTCTTGAGGGTTGAAGGAGAAAGTTTGCATTTAAAAGGCGAACCTGCCAAATCAACACTTTCCCAAACAAAATGTGAACAGGCAGACAGCTGTCCTGTGAAATTTGCATTTCTCAGAAATGCAGTTCCCCACACAAGTGATGTTTAAAAAAATGCATATGCTAAAGTGTGCAGTAAAGGTAAAGGACCCCTGACAGTTAAGTCCAGTCGCAGACGACTTTGGGGTTGCAGCGCTCATCTCGCTTTATTTAATAAGAGAAAACTACCTGAAAATGCACCATAGGTGGTGTTTAACACCGGAGAGATTGGCTAAAATCAACAAATTGCTTAGTAATAAGTGTTGGAGATGCACAAAGCAGATTGGAACCTTCTACCATATGTGGTGGACATGTCCAGAGATCAGAAAGTTCTGGGACATGATCCATGAAGAAATAAAAAAGTTACTAAGAACTTCACATTGTAAAAGACCAGAAACATACCTTTTGGGAATATTGAATAGTGATATTTATAGAGAAAATACTAAATTCTTTCTGTACGCGACATCTGCAGCGAGAATCCTGGTGGCTTAGTACTGGAAGGGTAACCAGGTACCGACCAAAGAGGAATGGTTATGTAAATTATGTGAATATTTGGAACTGGCCAAATTGATGGATATAATAAGATTAAAGCCAATTAATACAGTCAAGAAGGAATGGAAGTGCTTGAATGATTATTTAGAAAGACAAGGTTCTAATGACCTCGTGAATGGAAAAGGGGAAACATATATATATATATATGTGTGTGTGTGTGTGTGTATGTGTGTGTATATATATATATATATACACACACACACACACCCCCTATATATTAAGATGAAAATAATACTGAAATACAGATAAAATATGAAATGTGAAAGGAAGTGTTATGAGAGTGACGGAAGTCTATTACTATTATTACAGTGGTACCTCGGGTTACATACGCTTCAGGTTACAGACTCCACTAACACAGAAATAGTGCTTCAGGTTAAGAACTTTGCTTCAGGACGAGAACAGAAATCTTGCTCTGGTGGCGCGGTGGCAGCAGGAGGCCCCGTTAGCTAAAGTGGTGCTTCAGGTTAAGAACAGTTTCAGGTCAAGTACGGACCTCCGGAATGAATTAAGTACTTAACCTGAGGTACCACTGTATTTTGTGAAATAGTGTTTATTGTATTGAAATATTATACGTTTTTTTTATTCGTTTACTGTCTACTTTTCTTCGTTTTTTTGCTTTCTTTTTTCTTTTTCTTTATATTATTCTTTATGTATGGCTTGGTATTGATGTATTTACTTTACAATTCTAAATAATAATAATAATAATAATAATAGCTTGTATAATAAGGCACCCTGGTCAGGACGCAAAGGACTGTGAGATTTGGCCCAAAGATCGCAAGGAACTTGTTCATCTTGCATCTACCTTTCCCCACGTGAGATGGCATAAGCTCATGGATGAAAATATACTGGCATGCGGGTGAGAATATACTGTGAGCTCGGAGACCGAGCGTCATCAGCAACTGCAGGCACGTTCTTCTTCTTTCCCATTCCTACAGGCCCTTTCTTGCATCTCTTTGGTGTGGAACACCCTGCCTTGATTTAAGAGCCGAGAGGGTGTTGCTACTTCTAGTTAAAAATATACTAGACGGCGTAATTGCCATGCAATATGCTTCCAGCAGTTCACAATATGTCATGGGTGGCTGCGGTGCATGAAGTGGCAGGCTGTGGCGTGCATTTATCCAGCTGCGTGCTCCAGTGAGATGCTGCCATTCCGCACTCAGATATCGAACCAGTGCCGGATTTACGTAGAAGCTAAACAAGCTATAGCTTAGGGCTCCACTCTTGGGGGCCCCCAAAAAATTTAAAGGGAAAAACAACTGGATGCCCATTTCCAAAACGTAAGATAAAAAATATTTTGTTGTGTGCAAATGGCTTGAGATACCTATTAGTTCCATAAATGACCATATAGCATATATTCAACACCAAAAACTCCTAGGCTCCTATGATGTAAGTCATGGGCCCCGCCTGCCAGCCTGCTCCCTAAAATATCACTGGTTTGCTCATTTCTATATATAGGGTGCCTACATTCTGCATGGACGGTTGCATAGCAATATGTAGCAATTAGCTGCAAACTGCAGTGTAGCACAGCTGAATGTAGGTCAAGCTGTTGTACCTGCTGTTGTTTATTCATTTAGTCGTGTCCGACTCTTCATGACCCCATGGACCAGAGCACGCCAGGCACTCCTGTCTTCCACTGCCTCCCGCAGTTTGGTCAAACTCATGCTGGTAGCTTCGAGAACACTGTCCCACCATCTCGTCCTCTGTCGTCTGAAGGCAGCCCTGTTTAGGGAAGTTTTTAATATTTAATGCTGTATTGTTTTTAACACTTGATTGGGAGTCACCCAGTGGTGGCACCTGCCCTGTGGAATGCCTCCCATCAGGCGTCAAGGAAATAAACAACTATCTGATGTTTAGAAGACATCTGAAGCTTTTAATATCTGATGAATTATTGTGTTTTTAATATTTTGCTGGAAGCCGCCTCGAGTGGCTGGGGATAAATAATAAATTATTGTAGTAGTAGTAATAATAATAATAATAATAATAATAATAATAATAATAATAATTTATTTATACCCTGCCCATCTGGCTGGGCTTCCCCAGCCACTCTAGGCGGCTTCCAACAAAATATTAAAATACAGTAATGCATCAAACATTAAAAGCTTCCCTAAACAGGGCTGCCTTCAGATGACTTCTAAAAGTCTGGTAGTTGTTGTTGTTGTTTTGTGTGTGTGTGTGTGGCTTTATTTCGGGGGGGGGGATATTTCTTAAGGCTGTCCAACAAAGAACAATGCGGTCCTAGAAGAAGTGATTCAAACCCCCAAGAAACACCCAGAGAAAAGGAAGGCTTTAATTCTGTCTCCAATAAATACTCCCAAAGGAAGCCGTGTTTTCTTCCTCCTCCCTGCGATTTTCAATAGGATTGAATTGCATCCTTTCCCCTGCCAGGAGGCATCGTGCTTTGCAATGTACAATGCTTTGGCATGGCTTCTGCGTGGGATGAATGGGCTCCCTGAACGCCCAGCACAAAAGCCTGGGGCTTTCCCCTTGTCTGAGTCAGCCAGCACGGAAGGCTCATTGTTTGTAGGAACAACTGTGGCTTCCTTCAGATCACACAGCACAGAGACACTCCTACTGCCATCTAACATCCCCTTGTGCTCATTCTGTGGTTATCCAGTTTAGGATAGAGTGCAAAGCATACTGAAAATGTGCAGAGCTGCATAGATTGGCATTTTGAGCCTAATGCAAGTTACGATTGCTGCATGTCTTGCTTGAGAATTTCATCAGCCTTTTCTTCTTCCCTTTGATAGTTTTCTTTTACCATTAATACATCGAAGAGATCAAAAAGATTGTTTTTTTGTCAAATAAGACAAATAAGTCAAATAAGATACCATTAGACTAGATTAAAATCACACAGGACTGAATGTTGTCATTAAACTAATCATTACAAAGAGCACCTATTTTTCTATAAACTTATTACATGATTTTTTTGGTAGTATTTTAACTTAATCAGTGTTACAATAGACCAGACCTTTTTTAATCCCTTCATGTTTTGTATGCCTTCCCCCAAGTCTTAGCAGTCATTATTCTTGAAGCTTTCAGAAGATTAATTACTATTTCTAGATCGTTTTCCAAAATAATATCTAAGCAGGAAGGCTTTAGGTTCCAAAGGTATATGACATTCCATCATTCTGCACTGTTTTCCAAAAGATTTGGAGCTGCAGACAAGAGATACGTATAAAATCAGCTTTAGCTGAACCACGTCTCCAGCAATTGTCAACTCTAAGTGCATATTAGCTTTGATCATTTTCAAATGCAATTTATTTTGTCTTCCATTGATGGAGAACAGTAGAAAGAAACACAAGGGAGGTATTTTAGCACAGCACTATCAGGAACATGACCCCTGCCCTTCCAAATGAGTGGAGCAAACCCAGGTTTAAATGCATCATTTTGCTCCCATCAGGAGAACCCTAGAATTCTAGAATAATAGAATTGCAGAGTTGGAAGGGACCCCGAGGGTGTGACGCGGCAGCTAAAAAAGCCAATGCAATTCTGGGCTGCATCAATAGGAGTATAGCATCTAGATCAAGGGAAGTAATAGTGCCACTGTATTCTGCTCTGGTCAGACTTCACCTGGAGTACTGTGTCCAGTTCTGGGCACCACAGTTCAAGAAGGACACTGACAAACTGGAACGTGTCCAGAGGAGGGCAACCAAAATGGTCAAAGGCCTGGAAACGATGCCTTATGAGGAACGGCTAAGGGAGCTGGGCATGTTTAGCCTGGAGAAGAGGAGGTTAAGGGGTGATATGATAGCCATGTTCAAAGATATAAAAGGATGTCACATAGAGGAGGGAGAAAGGTTGTTTTCTGCTGCTCCAGAGAAGCGGACACGGAGCAATGGATCCAAACTACAAGAAAGAAGATTCCACCTAAACATTAGGAAGAACTTCCTGACAGTAAGAGCTGTTCGACAGTGGAATTTGCTGCCAAGGAGTGTGGTGGAGTCTCCTTCTTTGGAGGTCTTTAAGCAGAGGCTTGACAACCATATGTCAGGAGTGCTCTGATGGTGTTTCCTGCTTGGCAGGGGGTTGGACTCGATGGCCCTTGTGGTCTCTTCCAACTCTATGATTCTATGATTCTAGTCCAACCCCCTGCAATGCAGGGATCTCAACCAAAGCATCCAGGACCAATGACCATCCAACCTCTGCTTAAAAACCTCCAAGGAAGGAGAATCCACAACCTTCAGAGAGAGACCATTCCACTGTTGAGCAGCTCTTACTTTCAGGAAGTTTTCCCAAATGTTTGGCCAGAATCTCCTCTCTTGTAACTTGAGGCCATGAGTTCAAGTCCTGTCTTTCAGTACAGGAGAAAACAAGCTGCTCAATCTTCCATGGGACAGCCCTTGAGATATTTGAAGATGGCTGCAATAATAATAGTAATAATAGTAATTATAATAATTTATTTATACCCCACCCGGGGGGCTTCCAACAAAATGTTAATATACAATGCTTCATCAAACATTAAAAGCTTCCCTTTTCCAGTCTGAGGGCCACATTCTTTTCCAGACAACCACGCAGGGGCCACATGCCAGTAGTGGACAGAGCCAGAGGCAAAAGTGGGTGGAGCAACACATGCAAATTTCACTCGCTCTACAGCAGGCTACACATCCTCACCCAGAGCCCTCTGGCACAAACTTTGGGACAGCAGGATACGATAAGGTTATCAAGATGAACAAGAGGCACGATCCATGTTCAGGAACACATCGTAGCCAGCTGAAAATATCCAGGATGGCTCAGAAATGGAAGCAGCAGGAACTTCTAGCACTGGAAGAATGGCAGGTTAAGATGGTGGAATACGTGTGTTGTTTAGTCATTTAGTCGTGTCCGACTCTTCGTGACCCCATGGACCAGAGCATGCCAGGCACTCCTGTCTTCCACTGCCTCCTGCAGTTTGGTCAAACTCATGCTGGTAGCTTCGAGAACACTGTCCAGCCATCTTGTCCTCTGTCATCCCCTTCTCCTTGTGCCCTCCATCTTTCCCAACATCAGGGTCTTTTCCAGGAAGTCTTCTCTTCTCATGAGGTGGCCAAAGTATTGGAGATCGTGAAGCTGAGGTGGAATACGTAGAGTTGGCAAAGTTGACGGGGAAGATCCGGAATCAGCGTGACGAACTGTCTCAAAAGGACCGGAGCAAATTTATATTTTATATGAAAGAAAATTGTAAACATCTGAAAACATTTGTAGGTTTGAGTTGGAATGTTTTGTAATGCGAATATAAGGA